TGTTGAGTTTAAAAAGATATGGTCTGTCATGGCTTTACTTGACCAACTATGGGGCAAATAAGGTAGAAACCGATCTGTAGTCTTTCGCTGATTGGCAAATTAAAAGCATGCTAATTGATATAAAAAGGGTGCAGTCCAGGGGCGAAATTCAGCCGGTTCTGACAGGTTCTGGAGAACCGGTAGCGGAAATTTTGAATAGTTCGGAGAACTGGCAAATGCCACCTCTGGCTGGCCCCAGAGTGGGATGGGAATGGGGATTTTGCAATATCCTTCCCCCAGGAGTGGGGAGGGAATGGAGATTTTGCAGTATCCTTCCCCAGCCACACCCACAGAACCAGTAGTAAAAAAAAAAATGAATTTCACCACTGGGGCAGTTCATACTCAACCCTGAAAGCTTCCTGGGTGACTTTGGCCATCATTTTCTCAGCTCATTTTACCTCATAGGGTGGTCATTGTAGGGGAATTAGAAAGAGGGGCTCCTCTGTATCCATGCCTTGAGTTCTTGGATGAAAAATGCAATATTCATCAAATGGAATGTTCATTATTGGTCAACTGACTTATAATTTTAAAATATTATAAAAATACTTGAAAAATACTTAAGCTGCTAGGAAGACACTTCTCTCTTTTCCAGAAGAGTTCTGATGTCTTTTTTTATTTATTTAATCGCACATCTCACGAAAAAGACTCTCTGCAGTTTACAACAAATTACTGTCTGTAGGTATTTAGGTGTGTATAAAATGAAAACACCTCTTCTGTTATCACCACATACATACACTGCTTCGTGTGTTGTGTGTTTGTTATTTAAACTTCTCTCTTTTCAATGATACCATCAACTCCATGAGTTTCCTGTCTTTCCCTCCCATTCAACTAATCCAATCTTTCATTTTTTTTCTAATTGAATCCTCATTCATTTTCTCTGTGATCAAATCATCTGAATGTACTTCCTTAGTAGTGAACACTTGTGCTGCGTTTTGATGCTTGCTGAATGCAAAAATAATTCAAGCTTGGTCACTGTATGTTCTCTGTAAACCAACAAATATGTAATAATACAAATATGTTATATAAAGAAAGAGGTAAAATAATGAAGGTA